TGTATGGCACCCGTGAGCACACATGAGTGCATATATATAAGCACACATGTGCATCTACACATACACACACTGTATACATGTGAGCACACACACACAAATGTATACGTATGTATATGTGTATGGGTATCACATGTAGATAAGTGTGATAGATATATCGTACGTACGCATACACACACACACACGCGTGATCACTACGGTCTGTTCCACCTCACGCTTTGGTCTGAGAGTCCCAGTGACATGGTGGGATGCTAGATTGGTTTGCTCACCTGTGTCCCTGAGTGGTTTCGATGTGCTGGATTAGGATACATTTCCTCAGCAAACGGTTCACAGGATGAAGGCCTTTCACAGGGTGTGAAACTGCGCACTGAAAACATGTCATTCCCTCCAGCTGCAGGTCAGCGACACCGGTCGAATTCTCTGACGCGCACTGACGGCCAGCCACGCGCTGTGGCAGTAGCCTGGTCGGAAAAAATAAACAGGTGTGTAACTGCTTGTTCCTGCGTGCGGTCTGGGTCCACCAGGGCATCAGACTGGGCCCGCTGGTCCAGGTGTCACTGACCCTGGCCCCACGGCCCTCTTCTTAGTTCTGAGATGCCCTCTGCTCTCATCCACATGCGCACTGGCATGTGCTAGGGGCCGCACGGCGTGATCCATGGGAGAGGTGCCGGGGAGTCAGGGGTAGGCAGAAGGGGACAGGAGGGCCTCTCTTCCTGTGAGCCTGTAACATGTGAACCTCTGTTGGAGGGCTTTCTTATTACTGCTGTGAGGCTCCACGTCAGCTGAAGCCATGAGGGGCGTTCTCAGTTATGGAGCAGGTATATGTGGACAGTTGAGAACCCCCGAGCGGCTTGTGCTCTGGTCCTCTGAATGGGAGCTTTGGTTTGTGTCCAGTCATTGTCACTCCTGCCACTCAGTGCAGGGAGGGAGCTAGTGTGCGTGTCTGTATCCAGTGGGTCTGTATCAAGTGGGTCTCTTTCCCCCACAGGCCGGTGTCTCAGCCCACTTCCTTTGCTCTTCACTACGCTGCGAGCTGTGACGGGGACCCAGGCTCTGGGGACAGCGTCAGCCTGGCTCGATCCATCAGCAAAGACAGCCTGGCCTCCAACATCATCAGTCTCACTCCCCAGAACCAGCCTCACCCTGCAGCCGCCAAGACCAACGGGAAAAGCCTGCTGAACAACGTCAGCATTGAAGACGAGGACGAGGAGCTGGTGGCCATCATCACGGCTGACGCCCTTCCCCGTGAGACTGATGTGCCAGGGCCGGGCCTGTCCCCTCGGGCCTCTCCTCGGTCCCCCCAGAGGCAGGCAGGTGCCCTGGGCAGTAAGCCCCCTGACAGTTTTTTCTTGGAGCCCCTAATGCCGGCCGTGCTCAAGCCCGCGAAGGAGAAGCAGATCACTACCAAGGAGGATGAGCGGGGCGAGGGGCGGCCTAGAGGCTTCCCTGCGAAGCGACCCGGCGAGGGACACCAGCCTTCCATCCGGAGGAAAGCCCCCGGCACTCACAGTGGCCGCCACCCCAATCGGACTTTCACCCCCATTTCCTGTTCAGAGTTCCTGGCAGCTGCCGACCCTGTGTCCCTGGAGGCGGGACTGCCATCAGCAGACGCTGTGGGAGAAACATGCAGCCGGCCTCTGGCCAGCGGCGGTCTCCATCTGTTTTCTCAGGTCCAGTCTGCCGATGGCTTCTTCCTGCATGTGGCCAGGGCCGCTGAAGACCCCGAGGGCAGGCACAGCGTGATTGGTCCGAAAAGCCCCAACTCGCATGACTCAGAACCGTGGACAATTCTGACACAGGACTCAGACTCAGACATGGTCGACCTGGAGGACACCGAGCACGAACTGACTGCAGAGGAGCGGCCTCTGGTCGTCACAAGGTACGCCGGCGAGGAGGAGTCGGCGAAGCTGCAGGAGGACTTGAAGGTGAAGGAGCATGAGGACAAGGACGATGCCAGCGGCCGCTCGAGCCCCTGCCTCAGTACTGTCTCTCAGCTCAGCAGTGTCTCCGTGGCCAGCGGCAGCGTGAAGATGACCAGCTTTGCTGAGCGAAAGCTCCAGAGACTCAACAGCTACGAGACCAAGTCCAGCACCAGCAGCTCCCAGAAGACCACGCCTGACGCATCTGAGAGCTGCCCAGCGCCGCTGACCACGTGGAAGCAGAAGCGAGAGCAGAGTCCTAGCGGACAGGGCCGTGACCACGCAAGCCTGCTGGCCTCGGAGCTGGCGCAGCTGCACATGCAGCTGGAGGAGAAACGGCGGGCCATCGAGACCCAGAAGAAGAGGATGGAGGTGCTGTCGGCTAGGCAGCGCCTGGAGCTCGGCAAGGCTGCCTTCCTGCACGTGGTGAAGAAGGGCAAGGCCGACAGCGTCCAGCAGCCGCTCAGACCGCAGCACAACGGCGAGGCCTCTGACGATGGGCTGCCGGCTACGGACGAGGAGCCTCGGGGCATGGGCAAGAGTCCGGTGCTGGAGGACAGCGTCAGCGACGGGCTGGATGTGCATGAAGCTGACCTGTCCATCGAGAAGCTCAGCGAGACCATCAGCACACTGCAGCAGGCTATCCTGAAGATCTCGCAACAGCAGGAGCAGCTTTTGAGCAAGCCGCCCGGTCCCCAGGACCACAAGGGGAAGGCCGCCGGCCACCTAGCAGAGCCGCTCTCGCCCACTGGACTCACCGGTCACCGCAAACCCCGTCTTGGCCAAGGACGGAGCTCCCGGTCAGGACGGCCAGCTGAGCTGAAGGTTCCCAGGGACCGGCCTCAGGGCTCCTCCCGGGGCAAGACCCCAACTCCTAGTGCAGAGACCCACCCGCACCTGAAGCCACAACCCCTGGGCAGCCACGCCAGGACGCCCACGGACACAGAGCTCCCCCCAACTGACCCTCGGGACAAGTGTTTGTTTGACACTTACAGGCTCCATGATGAAAGCAACCAGCGAACGTTTGCTCTGCCCTCCTCCACGGACCCCAACATCTTGTCGGACGCTCTGGAAAAGAGCCTGAAGGAGGCGGGGCTGAGTGACGTCCCTGCCGAGGAGCCACTGAGGAGCAAGGCCAGCCTCATCGAGGTAGACCTCTCCCACTTGAAGGCACCCGATGAGCACGGGGATGTGGAGGTCCACGACAGCCCAGGAGGGCTGGGCAGCGACGGTGACCAGAAACCTGGGGTCGGCTTCTTCTTCAAGGTAGTAGCACACAGCGGAGCGGGGCCCATAGTTCAGGACCCCGTGGGCTGGCTGTGTGCCAGTGGTCTTTATTCCTGGATGTTAATGGTTGAATTCCACATAAGATCTTGGGTGCCAGATTTGTGTGTGTGTGTGTGTGTGTGTGTGTGTGTGTGTGTGTG